GAGGGAGATTGGGGAATTGGACGACGACATCGATGACTTCAATGGCTTCCGGAATTTCTCCTCTCGGTACGCTTCGATTCCGGCGCCGATGAAGTCCGGAGGAGCGGCGGTCTTTGGCAAGGATGTTTCGATTTCAACCGTCGTGTAAAGGTGTGCTGTGTCTACTAACATGCGCCTTCTTTTTCTGCTGTTACTGTCCACACATTGGCCGGGAAGGTAAACCGCCTGACATCAACGGCGGCGCCACCCCCACTAGATTTTCCAAGTAAATACATGTTCGAGTTAATTTTGGGATTTTCTTTTTCCTTCTTCTAATGGGATCGGTTGTGCATAAGGACGAGGACCAATGTACAATACAATTAGAGGGGTTTTTTTTAATTATTCTTTGATATTAAATTATATCCTTCCTAGTAGGGTATATAATAATATTGATTAGGGGTTTGCCTGTTTAAAGTGGGGTAATAAAAAGGCCATACAATGTTTGTATATGCTGTGTCTTCATATAGATTGGAAAGGATGAACAGATGCTGTAGTGGGCTATGACACTTTTTTCCCCTTGTTTTCACTGTGCTGCAATGGGATTGGTTTTTCGTGGGAGAGACAATATAGAAAGCAACTTTAAATTTAGGTGGCCTGTCCTTTCAATCCTTTCCATGGGAAGGGAATGGGGAACAAAAGAAGCAAGAAGAATTGCTGTTTGATTCAAGATATCTAAAAATCTCCATAAAGATTGAAAATTAGTACTATGGATTAGGACTGTGTTAGCCAGAGTTTAAAAAGATAGGATTTCCTAGAGCAATTAATGACATGTTTGGCTACATACAAACAGCTAGCAGTTTCTTTCTTCTGCTTGATGTCTTTTGGAGTTCATTGCCTTTATGTTGAGTAGAACATCAGAGACAGTCCATGGGAAGCTAAAGTAAAACATGTCTTCTTTGAAGTAAGAAGGGTGATAAGTTACATGATACCATGCTGAGGCCATCGGCTTGTGTTCGTGTGGGGCGCAGCTGTTCTCGAACCATTCTCTGACTTCCTTCCGTAGGGTCTTTACTGAAATCAAAATCCGGTCCTTCATATCTCCATACTTGCGATTGTCACGTTGCAGATAAGATGCTCGATTTCGAAGATCGCCCATCAATAACTCGTCTTCATACTCTGCTCCATAGTAGTTCATCAAAATGCTCATTTTCTCAGTGTACATGTCTTTGAAACTTTCAGCCATTTCGAGGAAAGTTTCAAAGCCATCCACTTCAAGATCACAATCATAAATTGCTCTAGCCGTCTCCTCTGACCACACAAGTCTTGACCTTTCTCGCTCAATTGACTTAACAGCAGCCCTGTAGAGTTTACCTAATACATTACTGGATATGTACATTGGTTTATCAAATCTCTCCATGAAATCTGGAAACTCCCTAGGTTTTAGAACGCGAGGCATCTCGGCTGGTGCTCCCGTCTTTGCAAAATCAACTGCCATGGAGTGCAGCGTTGCCAGTTCTAAACATTTTGAGCTTATGGCTTTTTTCGGCTCTCGGTCAGCATGAACTAAATGTGCAGTAGAAATGGCACCTAATGTGTCGTTGATCATGTAATCTACAAAAAACTTCTGAATTTCCTGCAGATTTTGATGATCCAACGAACCAGAGGGAAAATGTTAACCACATTGTTGAGCTAATTTCTGTTTTGAATTTCATACGGCATAATTATAGTTTAACATACCTCTAATGTTACATCATGATCCATTATGCGTGGTCTCCGTCCTGTATAGTCCATCGGAGCTTCAGTTTTGGGTGGGATAAGATTTTCATCCCAACTTATGAAATACAGATCTCCATCAAGATCACCACCCGAGCATTCATTCGTATGTGGCCTGCAAAAAACTCAACAGTTACCGAGCATCGAATGAAATTCCCGCTTCCTTTGCTAAGGCTTTAGGCCCCTAGTGGCTTTGAAAAAATGGAAATTACTCGAAAAACCTCCTATCGATTCAGGGAAGATGTATTTAAACTTTAAAGAAGGATTAAATATATTGCAATAAGCTCAATCTAATTTAGAACTAATCCACAAAATGCATTAAACAATAACTTCAGCCTACAAAAACATACCTCTCTCCTTTCTGAGGAAATACAAGACAGTTCACCAATCCTTTCTCCTCTAGTTCCACATGGAAAATAGCTTCAAGAACCCTCACATCTCCTGGATGAAGACATGGATTTTTGGTAACAACTACCCTCCCGAGTAGTATAGACGTCGTCTCGTCTATCTTATGGAAATAGTTCTGATTCCTGTCCTGAAGCTCTGATTTTGTCAAGGTTATGCAGGCATAAACTTGGCCATAATTTAAAATACCAGTTTCGTCCAAGCAGCCGAGGAGAATCCGGCCCTTCGGTACAAATATTCTACACCTACTTCTTAAATCCGAAAACAGGTTCCAATAGTGTGCTTGAAGCATCATTGAGAGGTAGGGTTCAATATTAGGCTCATAACCGTGGTTTAACATCTGCACCAGAATGTTATCAGATTTGACCCCATTCAAATTTTCCAAGACGTCCAAAGCAGCTACTTTATTGGTCAGCATTCTCCCTAGAAGATGTAGTTGTTCTTGCTGCAATGCCTCGAAGCTTTCATCCTTCACTCCCAAAGTTGACAAAAGAGTAACGATCTCTCGATTTAAATAGCACGGCATGGAGTCGCTCCACTTGGTAACATTGAGCATCTTGTTCTTTGATTCGAATTTAAGCATGCTATCACGCAAAGATAGTTTACGGAAAGAATTACGATCAACAGCAATGACACCTTTGTATCCACCGTATCGAATTTGAAATGCAGAAGGGATATGATTCACTCCACACTTATCGGCTACTTGCCTTGCAAAGGAAAGTGAAATCTTTCCGATACCATCTGAGAAGCAATAGTCAATACCATCAGAATTCACTTCAATATCGGGTATGATCTCGACATCTTGTGAAGGAACAACAAGAGTTTGCATGGAAGAACTGAACAATTGACCCATCCTAGCTGCACATTTAGAAATGCTTCGAATCTTTTCGAAGCAACCCATCCACTGTCTAATTTCTTCAGCTTTCAAATTGTCATTAGAAGCGAACATCCAGACAGAGTTTGATCGGAGTTGACTAGCTGAGAAGGCCAAGAACTCAAACCGTTTTGCTCCAATAACAATGCCATCTCGAAGAATAGTCATTACCCGATGATAGATTTCCGTTCTGTAAGGTTTTGAGAAAATGCCCCGCTCTATACTCGTGGTAACGGCACCTGCAGGAAGCTTACTCCAGTCCTCTTCAACAAAAGTAACCCTCATAAAATCCGAAGCATATGATGCAAAGTTCTTCACAACATAATTTGAAGTCTCAAGCTCAGGTCCCAAACAATAAATCCTTGATGGGGTGACTAGGGCTCTATAACAATTCATCAAGTTATTGGACAACCTTTTTTGAGATGATGAAGGAAGATTCTTGCAGTTCCTTTTCAGAACATGTAATTGAGTCTTCAGAAACGACAACGGCTCGTAACAAATGAACTTCAGCTGGTGTAACTTCTGAAGTATATTCAAAGCAGTTTCAACACTTAAAGTGCTAAGGAAGTCAACCAGATCATTGTTGGCTGCAGCAAGGCTAATTTTTTGCATATGAACTAAAGAGTTGAGCTGATATTGAACCTCATACGCCAGATTAGAACCTAACCCAGATTTGATCAGAGGAACTATCTCTGAGGTAGAGCCAAATTCCTCACCCTCCTCTAACACAAAATCTTTCAGGTTTTCTTTGTAAAATGGGAAACTTGAAAAAACATCAGAAGCCTGCAAATCTTCTTCAATTTCCCAACAAAATGAAGTTGACTGACCTATCGATCTCATAGCAGAAAACTCTGTTGTCCTAACCCAAAGATAGTCATAATCCTCTTTGCAAAGACGGTACCGAGTGCTGCTGAATTTAGTAGCCATATTTGATCCAGAAATCTTCTTGTATATTCTCGGAACATACTTGAGCTGCAACAGGAAATAGAAACATGATTCATCATGAGATATTTTCAGGATAATACAAAGATTTATAAAGACATGAGTAGATAGTTTGATAGTTCTCTCTTCTCTCTGAAAACCCCTCAGATGAAATCATCACCACGGGCATTGTAGAAAATTACCTTTATGAGAAGGGCATTCAATTTCTCACCACCAAAAGAAAGGCCAGTAGATTCCAGAATTTCCTCAAACATAAGTTCGAGCTTGTAAGTCTCCCCTTGGTGGCATATCCAGAAATCGACCCTCCTCCTCTCGGGCATAACCCAGGCTTTGACTCCATCCCAGGACTCCAAAACACTCATCCGATTCTCTTTCAGCATAAAACCCACATGCAAACCCCCGTTGTGGGTCCTGTGTGTGGCGAGTACTGGCCTCACGACGATGTCGTCGTTGGTCTCTGAGAATCTGAGGTTGTGGGAGTTGAAGACGAGGTCGTGTTGGACGGAGAGAGACTGGGCTATGGATTTGGCGGCGAGAGTGGCGAACTGTACGCGACCGGAGCCGCGCGATTTCCAGTTCTTGCGTTCGGTGAAGATTTCGATGGCGAAGATGGAGTCGGGGCCCAATTTGGAGTTGAGAAAGGTGAGGAGGTCTTGGGCTATGGCGGATTCGGGAATGTTAGAGACCTTGAGAGTGGGCCTCTCCGGCTGAGCCATGGCCGGAGATGGCGGCAGATCCGCCGCCGACGAACTGGCCTAGCAGAGTTGGAAAGTCGGGGGGAGGAGTGTCAATGATGCGCGGAGTATTTCTTTCTTCCCTCTTCTTTCTTTTTTATTTTTTTAATTTTATTTTTATATTTGATTCGAATTTATTTTAGTTTTCATATTTGTTTTGAATCTTCCAATTTTTTTTCATTGGGATTGAGTTTGGAGTTAAGACTTGTATTTGTTAATTAATTTACATAAATCTTTTATACATGTCGGATACAAGAGGGTTCGAACCTAGATGTTGGGTGTTGATACCTTCGGACCTCTTGCTACTGTGCCAACACCCCAACCTCGTATGTACTGCCAGTGTGTGCCAACACTCCAACCTCGTGTCTACGTCATGTTAATACACATACTTCAATGTATATTATTTATTTGTTAAAAACAAAAGAAAGATTAAAATTAAAATAAATATATTCTTTTAAGCTTCATAAAGTAAAACAAAATTTATACACACAAATAAAAACAATCTAAAAGCTCTGATTCATAGGTCAAAAATGAAATATATATAAATTTTTTTTTCTCTGGAAAAAAGAGGAAATTTTCTTCATTTGGCTTAACTCCCCTAGAAATCACCCTTTAATTAAATAGCAACATATTAATACAAACTACAAAGATTGATGAGGTAGAATGTGTGATCTAATGCAAATTTAAAATAAGGCATTATAGAGAGAGTTTGGCCAATTGAATTCACCATGGGAGCAATGAGAAAGATGATAATGGAGACGATTACCCACATTGAAATCCAACCTTTATTCGGGTGTGATAGCTTAGTTTTCTCCGGTGTCACGAAATGATTGAGAACTACAAGGGAAATCCTTCCTTCTTTTCTTCAAACAGAATGGAGAAAAGTAGAATGAGGGTGGAAAAAATTCAATATCATTTCGTTTACTTAATGAGGTTTGGCTAAATTTCTTCATAAAACTAAAAGAAACGCCAGTTATGTTCAGGATGGTCTCATTCAAAAGGACCTATGAAAGAGACAATAGTAAAAAATCAAACCAAATCAAGTGGCTAGTTACAAACAATACGAATACAAACAATAACGAGACCAAACCAAATCAAGTGGCAAGTTACAAACAATACGAACACAAACAATAACTAGACTAAGGTGCTAGTCTCGAAGATTGTTGACTGATAATCAATCAAAATTCTAGACGATTAGTCGAATGCGAGTGAGCGATAAGCTTTCCCCATTCGCTAGGCATTTTCCTATTGATTTTGTGACCCTTTGTGTTGGCTTGTGAATGCCAATGAAGAAGATTAGGCCTTCTGAGGATGGTTCACAACACTTGGCAGTTTTTTGTGGCTATTAACAATGAACTTGGTTTCCCAACTCAGTAAATCTACCAATGGCTTCTCAACTTTTAAGTTTTAAGAATCTTTTGGCAGTGTTTCTTCATATACCAATGGAATCTCATTGGACCCAGAAATGATGTTCTTGCATTGCCCAAAAAGCTACATCTGAAGTAATCTCATGCAGTCTATTTCATTAACTGATAAAATATTGTGAACTTGCTTTATGTCCTCTACTGGACTGCTTTTACATATGAAGTCATTCCAATACAGCATTGCCATGAAAATCTAAGAATCATCTAAAACTTTGATGGGGCATTTCCAATATAATCATACAACCAGTAAAAATATAGAACGACAAACATGTAAATTAAGTTGCTTCTGCTAAATGGAGAAATGATTTAGGTATAGTGCCATGCTTCAAGTTATGGATCTGCATGTCCAGCAACATCATCGTCGCTTGAACCGCTATCATCGTTGCTGATTTCATCCTCTTCACTCTCATCTTCTGCCGTGCATTTGATGCCGTTCTCCTTCTTCGCATATCTTTCGCAGTACTCTGTCTCCAGCACGAAATTAGATAAGCAGAGTTATCATTTAAGAAAAAAATGATATTTTTCTTTGAAAATCATCAAAGTTGAATGGACAAAAAGTTGAGGTATAGGATTAGAAAAGTTGATCAGTGAGAAATATTTTACCTTTAACTTTTTCATCATACTGCTTCCGGTCCTTCATCATAAGCGATGCTGCATCGCCGTTAAGAGGATCTGAAGGATTGGGATAAAGGAGAAGCTGGGGAAGAAAAACTTCAAAAACGTTCAAAAGATCTGCAGAACCCCAAAAAAGGGCTGTATGTGTAAGAATACAAACGTATGCAAACCCAAATAGAAGTAAAATGAAAGAAAAAGGGGCCAGTTTTTTAGTTCTATATTTGGGAGTCAGAATGCATTTCATATGATCCCATGGACGTTAAGTTATAATTCCAAACATACAAAAAGCTATTTTACAATAACCATCTTATCACAGAACACGTAAGCAGAAAATGCTCTGGAATCTAGAATAAGTGTTAATGAATGTTTAGTGAGGATGGAGGTGGCAGATAATTACCGAACATCGGACTCCAAGACTGATTAATCACATCCAAGCACACAGAACCCGATCTGCAGGTACAAATTGCACATAAAATACTTTGCTAGGAATAGGTGAAGCATTTTGATCGTTTTCATTTGATGGTTATAAGAAGAAAATACACTTTCTTACAGTTCATCAACATTTGGGTGGAATATCTTGTTCACAAAACCAATTGAAGGAGACTTGTATGGATATGCATCAGGAAGCTCAACACGGATTTTCCAAACGCCGGCTTCATATAAGCCTGCAAGGATCATGAAACTTGTGTAAGAAAATACTTATCAGATAATTATTTGCTTGTAATGCTCTAGTGCCAAATGTGGTGAAGAATAATTCGTTAAATGGGAGAAATATGAAAACATGAAGCTAAACTAGATACATATAATGTCTCCAATTATCATTTCCTTGTAAATGAAACCAAAAAGTTTATCACTAGTCAGAGTTTGAAGTCGTCTATAGTCCATACTGTATACCTTTCAGAGCTAAGTGGAATCCGAATAGTAACTAAACCTCATGCTGATGTACTTTCACAATCTTTTCACAGCCAAAAGCACAGTTTTCTTCATGGATTAAAACTCTTTTGGAACAGGCTGCAGACCTTACCAATGTTAAGTGAAACGGTAAACAGAAGTGTCCATATATTACAACACAGTAAAGCAGACGAAACAACTCATTTCAAGGATAGATTTTCAGGAGACTCCAAATAACATAAAAGAATTAGCTTTAGACTGCCAGCAAGTTGGCTTAATTGTTCATTTGCAATCCAAATAATGCCCCAACACACCCACAAACGAATAATTGCTACTCCATCAACGACTACGAAATGCATATTGGAGAGAGGTGAAAGTCGAGCAATACTTTCTTTGGGACCATGGAACTCCACATTGAATTCATTGAGTCCATCATTTATCATCTCCACATTGTAGTCACTCATCATCCTGGACAACATTAGCCAGAACCACCAGATAAACCAACAAAAACTTATGTAGCCATCGTTGTTGCATAAATCAGTAATAAAAATTTCAAAGATATTTAATCATACAATATGAGGAATCTAATTCATGTTACTACACAGTAATCTAATCACCCCTTAAGAGAACGCCAGTTCCAGATAACACACCTATTCTATAGCTCTAGTAATGGTCTATGGACATAACAGTGAACAAATTAAACTCAAACCTGAAACCACCCCAATTTTAGCTAGGCCAGCAACCCCAAAATGTTATCTAGCCCATAACAACGATTTGATAACCACTACTTCCACTGCAACCATGATTACAACCCCAAGCATGATCACTATCAGTCATAGCTCACTGCATGAGGAGCAATAAACAAACTACATTTGCGAGCATTGAACTAACCTAACTTCATATGATAAAAGGCACAAGAGGTTATTCTAAATGACAACTATAAATGTTTAGAAATCCAGAAAAAGAATATTGCAAGCATCAACACATGATTAGCCATGAGATGTTAATGAGCCCTGCTCCGTAACAGAAGATGAGAAGTTCTTTTTCACATCATCTTTTTGGTTGTTCGAAAGGCTCATAAACAGCCGTCCCAAGGCCACCCAAAACAGCCACAATAGCCAATGACTCAAACAAGATTAGGAAATCTAAATAAATAACAAGGGCATCTTACAATTTCATGACATCCATTTCTCTCCTTTTGCTTGGAGAAGACATCTTGAAAGAGCTGCACTTCCAAAATCTGCACCAAATTCATACTCTTGAACATTATATTTTAATTATGGAGTTCACATTTTAGATGTAAAGAAATGAAGAGAGAGAGAGAGAGAGAGAGAGAGAGAGAGAGAGAGAGAGAGAGAGAGAGAGAGAGAGAGAGAGAGAGAGAGAGAGAAACACTGTGCAATAACTAAGTTTTCACTTAAGCCAGAGATTGAAAAATATCCAAGGGAGCAGGAATGGGAATGATTGAGACTAAATCTTATAATAATGAAGAGTCGAAGACACTCGCTAGTACACTAAGCAAAAAATGAAAGCCTAACTATGAGCAGTGAATAAATCCCATACCACTAGTATAGACAATCGCACAAGGTTTTGAGATTTTCTTTCCTTTTTGAAAGTATCAGCATCATTATAGGCAGTTGGTACACAGACTCGTACACCACTCTTGATCAACTTGTCATATTCCTATATATTTCTACATGCTACATTCAAGACTTGCACATCTTCTTTCATATATTGAGTCATATCACTAACAATAAATGGTACAACGTATTTATGTCCTAGAAAGTTTATACAAATGAAAATCTGGACGTAGTGAGCTGCGGAAGTAGCCAGTCTTATCAAATTCCAGAAAAGGATATAATATCATTGAAATTGTTGCATTTATAATCCAGAACAAGCCTGCCTCTGAAGTCCATGAGTCAAACATCAATCACCATAAAATGTTAAAATGAGGATTAGTTACTGACTGTTCCAACAACTCCCATATTGTTCTGATTTATAGTTCACTCACCACTAAATAAAAACAAGCCATACAACTAATAATGATCAAGAAGGAAGAGTTAGAATCCTGGATTCATTTACCTAATGAGAAACTAGAGAAAGGATACTATATCCGCTGACTAATAAAAGCAAATATTTAAAAGGCCTGGTGGGGATCAAAATATGATCGGAACAAGGCAATGTCTGGTGTGTGATGATCCCACGCCAAACAGCTAAATCTGCAATCCTTTCTCCTCGTGATTACCAGAAGGACAAAGGGTAACTAAAATGCTGTATCCTCCACTAACAAAACCAATTCGCACGATCCCATATTTCTTCCCCATTTCTATAAGTTTCATCTAATCATCACAAAAATCGCTTACGAGTTAACCAACACAGGAAGAAGAATTCGCATAAACTTCATCCGGAGGCCCTGAGGCACGTTCAGAAAGAAGAAATAAGAAGATCTGTAGACTAAAGACATGTGAAGCCCCAAATTGACAGAAATTAATACAAACACATACATTCAGAGATAAAAAGGAAAAAAAAAAGAAAGAAAAAAGATGGGTGTCTTACAAGAACCAGAGAAATTAGGCGCCGCGTGAAGCCCGCTCCACAGGACGATGGTTGAATTGTAGTGGGTAAAATGGAGAGTCCCGTGAACCGAACGGAAATGAGGAGCGGAAAGAGGATAACAGAGAAGGAAAAGATGGGTGAGAGAGAGAGAGAATATATATAGGGAAGAGATTGAATTGGGGGGTTGAATGTGGAGGAGATGCACATGTTGGAAAAAGGACTCCGCTACGTGGCAGAGTAAAGCTTTCCGGTAACTCTGGTTTGTGGGGTTATGGTTACAATTTTCCTCTCTCTCTCTCTGTATAGCCATTGCCATTACAGCCTCCATCGCCTTTTCTCAACTTTGAAAGTGGGGTTTTCCTCTTTCTTCTTCCGACCCACGTCCTGCCATGGCCGTCCCAAGCTTCACTGTCATGTGTCATCCAATCCACAACCACCATCACCGTCCATACTCGAACATTGCCTATTTTTGCTGCTCCACCGAGAAGGATTGGATCATTGATGGCTGCTACCCATTATCGCAATTGGCAATATTATGGGTTCAGAATCCAGCCATTGGGTAAGGCAAGATGCCCATTATTTATTTCAACAGTAGCCGATTTTGAGTTCTTTGGTTCATGTCATGCATTTCTGTGAGCTAGTTTCAAAACCTGAAAGTTTCATTCTAAAATTGATGATTATTAATCATTTGTCGAAAATTGTGAAGAAAAATGAAAAAGAAAAAATATTAGGCAACAAAAGTAAATAGACTAGAAGAATGAAAAAATTTATTACTTGAAAAGGACATAGGATGAAAAGTCCAATGTTTTGTCTAGAAAAAAGAGTTTGTTTAAATTTTAAATTAACAAACTACAGAAAATTATTATAGAAATTTAATTGGGTGTTCAAAGTTCAGATATTTAATTTAGCTGAGAACAATTCTAATCGACATTGGCTAGTATACCCAAAGAATTAACCAATATAGGCATTCGATGGTCATCGAGGAAGTAAAAAAGTGAATGAAATTAAAATCTTATATTAATCACCTATCCTATAGTTAGACGATATGAGATTAGGAAATATTGAAAAGATCGTAATGGAACACATTTCGAATATTTGTTGATGAAATGTACTAAAAATACCCAACTTTAGGATGGCATGACCATCAAAAGCTTCATTGTCAATCGCCATCACCATCGACACTATCACATTGGGTTGGGTTCATAATTCAGCCAATTAGCTCAAACAAGAAGCCCACATGAACAACAACTCACACTGTTCCACTTTTATCGATGATGGTTTGAAGTGACCATAATTGGAAGTTATGAATCTAAAAAATACTGCAAAAGATTTAGAATGACCATTAATGTCAAAGGAAATCACTTCTCTTTTCCCTTGGGAAAAGTTATTCTATGATTGTATGACTTGATAATAGAATCGGAACGACCGACACGTGTCTACATTGTTAAATTTACAGGCAATTCAACAGTTGGTTGACTTTAGCTAATAACTGTGAGAGGAGGGGAGGCTTTCATGTTTTGTTGCAATCAATTGCTCATTCATGTGAAAAAAATGCCAAAATGTGGTTTTTGTTGGCACAAATGAAGATGCAACAAACAACTCCTTTGGTTTTCTTTCCCATGTATGAAGTTGAGAGGCTTAGGCAGGCCACTGCTCAGCTCTCTTGTATGAACAATATGGTTCAGTGATGCAGTTTGATCCGTCTGAGAGGCCATTGGATTTAGTTTCGAAAGTCTAATTTTGATATCCCATAGTAGTAGGCAGTGCCAACCATAAGAGCCACCGTAGCGTCTTCGACAGCCACCCGCTTATCCCAAGTGAGAGTTGCCTAGCCGGAAACTAATTAAGCCTACTGCTTTTTTTTCGATAACTGGGAATCAGAACTTTAGTCCCCTACATTCAGAGGCCACTTGCACCCGCCACAAAGCCTGAACTTGGGAGACATGAAAGTTTCTATTTTCTTTTTTTTTTTTGTAATAATTAAGCCTGCTGTTAGAACTCCAGCTGTGATAAGTGAACCTGAGGAAGTAAAATTGTAAAGAAGAAAAAGGGTACGAGGAGCCATTAACCATTCAAAACTTCACAAAAGCCTAGCCAAGATACAGCACACAGCAAATAAAAGAGAATGAGAAGCCAAAACTTCACAATAATCCAGCCAAGATAAAAAACAAGTCAAAGAACAGAGTGTGAGGGAGCCATTAAGCCTTCCAAACTTCAAAACAGGCCAGCCAAGATACGGCACACAGAAAATAAAAGAGCATGAGGAGCCATTAACTCTTCAAAACTACATGTTAATTCAGCCAAGATACAAGTACAACACACATCAAAGAAAAGAGTATGAGGAGCCATCGACCCTTCAAAACTTCATATAATCCAGCCAAAATACAACACGCATCAAAGAAAAGCCTACGAGGAGGCCTTAACCCTTCACAACTTCATACAGTCCGGCCAATGTATAGCTCTACAAATGCTAGATGTGTCTATCAAGGGGATATTACATAATGCATGCTAGTCAGTTCCATCAATTCAATTGCAGTACTTAGGAAGGAAATTCAGGTGCCCCTTAACTCCCAAAAAAATGATCTCTAAGTTTCTGAAATAGAAATCAAATGGGCAAGAGCAAGAATTAAGCCTTGTACTCACAAATCAGCTCCAATACTGTTGAATCTTGAATTCAATGAAAAACCAAAATACGAAATGCCGCAAATTTAAACCGCCAACGTAAATTTACTACATTATTCAAGAAAACAAAAACGAGAGAATTAAGCGTGTGCTGTTACCAATAGAAACCAGGGTCCAGAGGGTTCCTAATGCGCTTCTTCCCATCAAAGAATTCGTCCAAATTGGGTTCTGCTGTAACCATCTCTAAATTGACAGTTGTTTGAAATCGGAGAATCAGAAATTAATGTCGATTTGATGCAGCAGGCAGCAACCATAACCACTGGAAGAAAATCAAATTGGGAGAAGAAATGCCCTCCATCCTCCAGGGCCCGACGAACCCACATTTCATATCCTATTTAGGGTTTCGAAATTGGGCCAATTTGTCGAAAGCCATTTTGTGAGCCCAGACCAGGAAGAAATTTAAATGGATATTCATTGTTTAAAATATAAAAAATATATATGTATATTTATAAACACAATATTTAGGTTAAAAAATATTTTGGTCTATCTTCTCTCATTTGAAATAATCATTTAGCACGTAAACTTTTATAATTCATAAACTTTAATTTGTAACAATTTGGTCCTCACATCTTCAAATTGATAATAATTTAGTTCAGGATGTAATAATATAATCTTTGTAGTTTAAAGTTTGTAACAATTTTTTTTAAAAGAACAGAAAAAAAATTTGTAATAATTTAGTCTTTATTGTAAAAATATTTTAAATATTTAATAGAGTTTCTTGTCTATGTAGATCTGATAAAAAATCGATTGCATTTATAAATTACAAATACTAAATTGATATATAAAAAAAATCGACACTTAATTTTAATGAGACTTTCATGATACGGATTAAATTGTTATATATTAAAATTCATGAATTAAATTGTAACCAATTTAAAAGTATAATGATTAAATCGTTACAAGTTATCGGTTAGAGACTAAATTGTTAACTCATTGAAAATACAGGGACCAAAACTATTTTTAACCAATATTTTTAAAGAATAAATATGAATATGTTATTATTATTATTTTTTTTTTTTTACAAAAATCGTTGCAGCTAATTGAAGTTGATTTTATGCGATTTTTTTTAGTACAGGATTTTATGCAATAATTGTTCACTTATGTAATTGATTTTTATCTAAATATTGATTAACTACAATCATAATAATTATCCACTAAGTGATATTGATGGGCTATAACCATAATAATCCTTGGCTATTATTTTTTAATTTTTGTTATATTTACAATCATTTTTAACATATAATATTTAATAATTCTTCTCAATCACATTAGATCTGCAACAATCTTATATCTTAGGATTTTTATATAAATAATTTATTCATGAAGGGGTTCAATATTAATATGCTCAAATAGAAAAGTAATTCTTTGAGGTACATTTGAAAACAAATCTTAGACATAAATCGTTAAATTAGAGTTTAGGGTTTAGGGTTTTGTATGTTATATTTATTTTTTAACATTCAGTATACATTTTATAAGTCAAAAAATGATAAAACAATGCATTTACTTATATTATGAGAAAAATGGAAAAAAAAAACAAGAAATAAGAAGTTTGATTTTTTTTTTCAAAATGTATACACAATTTTAAAAATGTTTCTTGAATACGAGAAAAAAAATAAAAATATTTCCAAACTTTTATGTCTAAAAGATTGGAAATAAAAAATATGAATAGTACTATACGAGCTTTAATTAATTTTGAAACTAAACTCTAAAGTTTGAATGAAAAAACTTTAGTGTCGTCTACTCATAATGATTATTAGGGAAAATAAAAAATAAACTTAGGCATCACAACTCATCCAAAAGGGCCACATTTGCATGATTAATCCTTAAGGTTAGGATTTTCTTAAAATTTTAAATTAATTAATTAATTAGTTGTATTTAATTTTTTTTTTCTTTTTCCATTTTGGTTGGGTAGCTCTTGGCTATTATGTTTGCTTAATCTTTACTTATTCCTTCAACCGAAAGTTTCCAATAATTCCAAAATTGTTTGGTTGTAGGATTTCCTTTTTAGCCTTCAAGTTTTAATACTAATAATACAAAATAGCTTACATCCCTATTTATTACTTCAAAATTTTATAATTCTTTTCTTTTTCTTGCATTAATTTATTTTATTATGCATTCTTTAACTAAAATTTTAAACTTGGTATGTATTGTATTTTGACTATTTCACATGATTGGGGATAAAATATTTACCTATGATATGAAATATATACTATAATAACATGTAATTTAAGGATTTTATAATGTAATTTGTCAATTTATTTAGATCACGGATTTGACTTTAGTTCATTATGGTTCAGGTACATTTAAAACGTTTATTTTAGTTCTTGTAGTTTCAACTTTTATTTTATTTTAATTATTCTTTGTACTTTCAAAATTTTTATTTTACTCTCTTCATTTTTATTTTAAAAACTTGTATTAAAAATTGTACAAACAGATATAAAAAAATGATCACTTCTCAAAAGTAAATGAACGAAAACGAATGTATCAAAATTACATAGCTAAAATGCAAAAGTTGAAAGTACTAGTATCAAGTTATACTTTTTAAAAATATATAAATCAAAATGAACTAAAGGCTAAAAAGATAATACTTATTTATTTATTATTATTATTTTAGTGAAACTCCAATTAATAAATTATCTGACATTTAGAGCTAACTTGGACCACACCACCCTCCCTTTTCTTTCTTTTGGAAAGGAAAAGGAAAGATAAAAGATATATAAATATATATATCATTTTGGAGGAAGATTTTAGAAATATATGCTGTGGTCCTAGACTTTTCAATTGATATAGTTCTTTTAAGAGGGTGGAAAAAGAAAAAAGAAAAAGCAAACATCAAACTTGATAATTTGATTTAACGGTCAAGATACTTTACTCATTTCTCGAAGTATTAAAAAAATTTAAAATATATTTTACACGGTCTTTAAAATTATGACAATAAATATAATGGGAAAATTATCTTCAAAAATTTATTTATCTCCTTGATATCAGTTCGAAATACAATTCTTTGAAACATATAGATAAAAATGAGATAGTAAACTTTATCTGCAAACAATTGATACAGAAAATCATTTTTTATGAAATAAAATTTCTTTTTGATCGAATAAATTTAAAAGGAAGGAAAAAAGGAAGACAATCTCTCTCTCGAATGGCGTTTGTCATAGATAGAAGCATTCTGTTTTGATAAAAAGAAATGGGGTTTCTTTGGTTTTGTTTGTTTGTGTGTAGAAACCAGAATTTTTGATTGGGTAATGAAAGGAAATGGGTATTTCTTGTTGATGGAAATGATTCATATCAACATACCAAAAAGACGACTTTTCTGAAAAAACTCCCACACCTAAACACAGGGGAAAGGGAGGGGAAAAGGGCGCATTAAATGATGAAAACTGATACGATCTGATGTGAATTACGATATAAGCTCGAAATCAAATCCAAACCCCAATTTGCCATTGCCAGCCGAAAAGAAACCCAATTAGCAACCAGAAAAAAGGGAGAGCGGGGGAGGAAAGAGTGATTTAGTGAGAATCATGTGATTTTCCACTCTCTGCCTCGCGACTCTCCTCTTTTCTCTCTCTTCCTCCTGAATCAAAAAGCCATAGACGGCTCTGTAAACACCAACCCAACCCCATTTTGTTTGTTTGTTTTTTCTTTTTGTTTTTTTGCGTGTAGCAATTTCCTTTTCTGAACGGTTTTGGAGTCTGAGGGCTTCTTCTTCTTCTTTTTGCCATCTGGGTTTTGTTTTTCAATGGCTTCCAGTGCTTCAAGGTTCATCAAGTGCGTCACGGTCGGAGATGGGGCTGTGGGGAAGACCTGCATGCTCATATGCTATACCAGTAACAAATTCCCCACTGTATGTTCTTCTTTCTATGAAAAGATTCATCTGGGTGCCTTAATTTTGAATGTTTTCTTAGTTTATACCGCTTTCTGGGTCGTTTTTGTTTCATAGTTTCACCTTCCCTGCCGCTTACTCGTTCTGTGTTTCTCATGATTGTGGGTTCCAATTGCTCTCTTTCCATTCTGACTCCTAATGCAGTTATTTCTTGGGAGTTTCTTTGGTTTTCTTGTATATATACGGTTCTTGTCTTCAGATTCTAGTCTAATTAACAGTGGTTCTTGCTTCTTCTCCTTCAATGGAGGGGGAAATTTTGTTGGCACTGGTGTTGTGATCATAATTGCTTGTGGTTGCTGGTGTTGTGATCATAATTGCTTGTGGTTTTTCAACAGAAAACATAATCAGTTGTGTTTATCAGGATTACGTACCAACGGTGTTTGATAATTTCAGCGCAAATGTGGTGGTTGAAGGCACCACCGTCAATTTAGGCCTCTGGGATACAGCCGGTACACCCCCTTCTTGCTGCCTTGAAACAAGCCTTGAAGTTGTATCATTCTGTACTGTTCATAGAAATTTTAGGATATTGAACTTGGCTTTGGTTATATTGCATACAGGTCAAGAAGATTACAATAGGTTAAGGCCATTGAGTTACAGGGGAGCTGATGTTTTCATCATTGCCTTCTCGTTAGTTAGCCGAGCGAGTTACGAAAACGTAGTTAAGAAGGTGAACTGAACTAATCTAAGTTTTTTTTTCCTTTTATAATTTGACGTGATAAATGTGTGGCATCTCTATCATCTCCATGTTTGGAACTTGTAATTTCTCATGGTTTGGTTCTTGGTCAGTGGATTCCGGAGCTTCAACATTATGCACCTGGTGTTCCGGTGGTATTGGTTGGCACCAAATTGGGTAGGCCATCCTTTTCTGATTGTAGTTGACTCTAGATATTTGTTGCATTTGTTTCAAATTTTATTCTTTTCTCTTTCTTTCTTTTACTGAAGCAGTAGTGATGAGGTACATAGAAGTATAAAAGTATAACCAAAGCAAATATTATCTTCTTTTTCTTTTTTTATTTTTCTTTTCATTTGAATTGGTTGAAAACAAAGGATGAAGTGGAGAAGGGGTTGCCTAAACTAGGAATGCTTGCAAACAGGAAAATCCTTGACAAGGGACCTTTGATACTTTTGTTTAGAGTGCTTCCAAAGGGCGGGTCCCTTGTGGGTTTTGGATGGGAGTTCAGCTCAAGGTCCTGGTTCAGGCCTCCGAACGGTATGCTGCTTAATTAGAGGAAAAAAACTTTATTGTCTCTCGGAGCTGGTGTACGAGCGTGCAGAGTCTCGCTATAAGTTAGTGGAATGGGGTAGGATACCACAGATATTTAAAAAGAAGTGGTGCTTGCAATGTTTGAATTATTGAGAGGACCAGAATACATGTCTTGCAGATGAGTTAAAATTCTGTAGGGGGGCCAACAATAATACAGGTTGTAGGTGCAGCGAAGCATGGTCATATCAAGAGAAGAGCTACACGGGTTCTTGGAAGATACTTTTTCCCGCTCCATCACGAAGGAAATCTATGTAAAGAGTTTAGCATTTGATTCCTGTTGAGAATTGAGACGAGGGCCTGTTTTAGCTGATTGTTTAGTAGTCAACTTGACCAGGTCCCAAATCTACAAAGCCTTAATAATTGCATAGGCACTGGGGAGCCCTACTTGGTAAACAGTGGGACTACCAAAGAAAATTTACTGCAATATTTAGCATGAACGTTCACTTTTGTGTTCTTATATGCACCCAGCATCACAAAATTCTTGGCCTGAATGCTGTTGCTGTTGAATACTGATTCTTCGAGATATCGTCAATTGATGCAAATGATTAACTGTGTTACTGTACAAGCTATTATCCTGATTTGCTTCTCACTTCAGAACGAGAATTGTCGATTAACTTTGGGATCATTATTATTGCTTAGATCTTAGAGAGGACAAATTCTATTTGGCAGATCATCCAGGATTGGAGCCTGTAACCACTTTACAGGTGAATATTTTCCTTGTTTAATATTTTAGCTTAAAGAAGGGGAAAGTAGGCTGCTTGCTTTGAACTCATGATTATAATAAACTTTAACCCTAGCATCTATTGTCGGATCTAATCAGGGCGAGGAACTCCGGAAACAGATTGGTGCCATGAATTATATCGAATGCAGCTCAAAAACCCAGCAGGTACTCAGTTTACTATAGAGATTATCTCATTTGTGACGAAATACTTCTTTGTAAGTATTGTAATAAAAGATTTGGCCACCTACCAACTTGAAAAAATAATGAGCGAGTCGTTATGATCATGATTCATGGAAAACTCTGTAGAAAATTTCATCTCAACTCCATTTCGGATTACAGCCGAATGAGATTAGTGTACAGAATTATGATAATGCAGTATTAGCATACAGTTTACTATTAACAGAACTTGTGCAATGCAGCCTGGTAGTGTTCGGTTTTGTGTCGTTGATTTGGATGGTTTAATCGCTATTGCAGAATGTGAAAGGAGTTTTTGATGCAGCAATAAAGGTGGTAATCAAGCCACAACAGAAACAAAAAGAAAAGAAAAGGCGCCGCCGCCATGGTTGTCTGCTGTGAGTTCTCTTATTGATCACTCTAATTTACACATTACATCGTGACCCAGAGATTATATTCAAGAACAGTTTGAGTCCGTTCGGGTTTTTTCGGTTTTTTGTTACTGCATATGAATTATCTGTAACATAATGTTTCGTCCCTTTGGCTTCTTAAACGCAGAAATGTGTTGTGTGGAAGAAATCTTACGAGGCAAAGTTGAGAGCAGCTTTATAACAAAACAACAGAGGGTTGTTTGGAAGCTAGGAAATATGTTGCAGCGAAGCTTATAATATTAGTAGCTTTTTTTTTTCTTTTTCAAATGTCTGATTTGTATTCGCTCTATGGTTCTTTTAGTAACTCGTTGTATACAATTATTTTGGGGACAGAATATGGTTTCTCCATTTGATATATTGTAAAATAATTACTCAAATCGGCTACTACCTTCTAAACAACAAACACCACTCTTCCAAAAGGCATCATCACGACATAATTTGTAAACATGGAACTGTAAGCTTTACATCTCTTTTCCAAAAAAAAAGAAGAAAAAAAATTCCTGCCACCTGCGGCTTCATCATCACCAGCTAACAGTAAACACTCTGCCAAAACGTTGTATGTAAAGAATTTAAGAGCACAGAGCACAAAACAAGTAAATACAAGAACACCCATGTAAATTAGAGAGCGATTCGATAAAGAAAATGGTGAACATTTGATTATTTGCATTTGCAAGGCAAAATTTAAAAACGAGAGAGGGGGGAGGGGGGCAAATTAAGTGAATAAAAACGCATGTGCCAGATGCACTCTTTGCTTTCATCCTGAAGGGGGAAAAAATGAAATTATAAATATGCTCAAAGCAATTCACCGGTTCATATTGGTGAAATAGCTGCAAAAAGGATGGAAAGGTTTTTGAGTTCAACAGTATATTAAATTGATGCACTGAACACCTGTATCGGCACCAACTATCAAGTGTCTGGGCAACAGATAGTGCATGCTTTTCCAACAGTTAAATATCTACAAAGAAGAAATTATCTGCAGCCACCCAGAACAAATTCAAGTGACAAGAAGCTTGAAGGCCCCAGACATTCTTTTTAAGTTACAACTGATACAGAGAAAAGGTGTGGGGTTGGAGACCATGAAGAACATGAGATACTACTCACCACCTCCTCCGAAAAGCACACCAAGTTAGATGACAACCAGTGGAAGTCAGCTCAATGCCAATCCTCACAGCACTGAAAAACATATAATTAACATTTTAAACATTAGATGACAATCGTGGAATAAACATATATTCATGTTAAAATAGCAAAAACATGCCAACATGATGATGGCTGTTTGTACCCCATCCCAATCTCCCACCCTACAAGGCCCTATATCCCGGGGGGTGGGGGTTTTAAAGCCTATAGTCTAGAGGGAAAAGATATAAACGAACACTCACCAGCTTTCAGGATTCAACAGGATCTTCCTACTACCATGATGACTGTTTGTACCCATCCCACCCTCCCTCTGGCTCCTTCCTCTTCATTATGCCAATTGCTGGCTGATAAACCCTCATATGATCCTCGGCAGTGGCTTGAGAACTGGCAACAGATAGTTGCCTCGGTACCAAGGATGATGATTCCTCTCTCCCCTCAATGTCTGGAACTACAGGGCCAGCGTTTAGATCTAAACCTTGTCTTCCCCACTTCCTACTACTATCAGAACTAGTATTGTTGCCACCATCTGAGTGACTGACAACATAGGGTCTTGGATAATGGGTTGAAACTGCACCAGGAGGACCTAAGAACTGTGAAGGGACTGCTGCAGGGAAGCAAAGCCTGCTACCAGATGATGAATCAACATACGCTGTTGCATTTCCTGAAAATGTGGCTGAAGGTAGAGGAAAGCTGTTTCCAAAAGACAGGACAGGATACTGGAAAGTTGCTGAAGGAAACGGTACTGCAGGAGAAGATGATAATACTGGCCCTCTGAAGACATCAGGGTTATACGGATTGCTACCACTTGTGGGTCCCAAAATCCTGGGTGGTCCATTTGTCGCAACAACTGGAAAAGGCTGTTCTGCTCTATCAGGCATAATTGATGGAATTGCAACAGCTGAATAAGCATTCCCTGGAGGAAACCATGATGGAAAATTTCCAATTTCTGCATTGTTCATCCAAAGGCCAGAAACAGTTGGCTGGGATGGCATACTGCTTCTAGCATGCTGAGGAAATATTGATGGTTCAGTAGTGGTTTCATCAGCAATAGGTCCATTTAAATCAAAGTCCCTACGAAAATTCACCTTGTCATTGAGAGGAACAGTAGAGGATTTAACAGTAATAGGAGCATCTACTCTACGACAATTGTTCAAGGAGAAGTTGCTTGCATCAGGAGCATCATCAACTCGGTTTAAATCAAGATCTAGTCCTCCTGAACAATGTCCATGTGTGGAACCTATATCATGCAACAGATCACGATTGCTTGCTAGGTCAGACCTAAAGGCCAACTCCTGAGTAGACATCTGTGCATTCATATCCTCAAGAATCCTTTCGTCAGGAACATTCAAGTCAATATCTAATGGGGGTCGAGAAATTTTACTGGTTGCAGCATCAGGAAGTGAAGTGGTTGCAGCACCTAGTGGCATTTCTAGAACTTTTCTAGGTTCAGCAGGTCGGAAAGCACTTGTGGCTGCCGATCCTTTCCAACCAAGTTCTCCTTTACTCCTCAATAGATCATCTGGTGGTACAAAGCCTCCTTTTGCTGCAGCTGCAACTGTAATTGAAGCAGGAATGTTGCTTGCCACATTAGATACAGGAAAGGGTAACGGACTAATTAACTGAACAGTTGTTAAACAACCAGATGGTGTAAAGCTAGTTGGCTCACTGCATTTTCCATCATCTACATTAAAGCCTTCATTCAAATCAAATTCCAACTTGGCATCCATATCTGACACCCCCACCGCAGACATTGAACCAGCATCCGCAGCAGTGGATGTAGACTCCTCCGCTTCTTCTGCTTCAACACCAGCTAACTTGGATCTCTTGGATGGAAGAGGCTGCTCAGTTTCCTGAACAGGAGAGATACCAGATTGCCCATGACGTGTTTGTCCACTTTTCTCGTTGTTCTCTTTAGATTCCAAATTCTCCTCTACATGCTCACCTTCATGGTTGGTAGCTGAACACAAGCCACCTAAACCTCGGGACTCATAAGCCATGCGATCCAGGTCGTTTTGATGTTTTTCAACATCAGTTGATGTATTGGTTTCGTCATCCTTCTCACCCTTCATCTCACCTGCATTTACAGAAACCAGATCACTTGAAGAGCCTGAAGCCTTGAGTAATTCATCAGTCCTTAATTTGGCAGAATCACAGTTCAACTTGGAAGATAGCCTTTGGTCCGCTGTACCAACACTATTCGGTCTATCATTTGTATAGCCACCAACTTCTTGCAACCGATGCAAAGCTTCGTCAACAGCGTCCATTTCAACTTCATGATTTGAAATACCATCACCAACCATGCCACCATCAGGCAAAGAACTGCTCGGCTTTGGTTTAGACTCTGGACTGCTATCTCCATCTACATCAGCTGTCTTTCTCTCCTTCACTGGTTTAGCCCCCTCGATTTCAAAGCCCTTCTCAGGTATCCTAGCAGGAGAGGAAGGGCCTCCAGCCTCGTTCATTTTTATACAACCATCTGGCAGTGGCACAGCAGTTTGTTGCAAATTCACACCAGACGATTTTGAATGGCCATTTAGATCTCCAGCCAGTTTCTCTTCAGATTGTGAAGCACACCTTCCATCAATATTTTTAGCTCCAGAAGTACAAGTAATCACACCCTGCTCAGTGACATCCATAACATCATTTGGCTGCATTTTATCCCTAGCATCCTCATCAGGACAAGGTGTTTTGAGTTTACCATCACTGCCTCTGGAGGAGCGGTCAACTACAGTGATATTTCCTTGAGAAGTATCAGAAGGCAGAACAAAATCAGACTTTGACATCTCAACAGCTGCTACACTAGCAAGCAAATTCATCCCAACATTATCCGTGACCGACGTAGGCATACTAGCTTCAGAGCATTTAATACAACTCTCAATTAAAGCATTTATGGAGCTGAAAGAAGCATCATGCAGCTTCCCATTCTTATGTTCATTCCCTAATGATGACGGAGCAGCCCTTGAAACTTTAGTGTCTTCAGCAGCCCGACATCGCTCTTCACCATTTACAGCAGCAGGAGATCCATCGCCATCATCAGAGCAAGTCACCATATCCTTTATATCACTATTCTGCCAGGACTCTGCATTCACATCACCAGTAATATTAGGTTGACAGGCATCACTCTTACTGTGATCAAATTGATCATGCTTCTCTGAAAGTGGAGGAGAAGAGGCCCTGCTATTCATCATTGAAGGATCTTCAAAAGACCCTCCACTGGCACTCTGTGCAGGACTCCGGCCACGATTGGTGATCTTAACAATCAGTTTAGGACTGTTTCCCTCACCAATAGGTCCATCGGATGCCTTCTCAAAGGTCATTCCAGATTGTGATGATCTCTCTAAAACTGTGTTTCTATGCAAAGAACTTTTTCCTGACCCAACATCTCGTTGAGCCCCAGAGAGAACAGAACCAGGAAATCCATTAACTGACTTGCGCTGGCGAGATCCACCACCTGATATCTTACTCACACTAATTGAACCAGCAGTAGAGCTTCTTGCATCCTCCTTCCCTAACCCACCACTTTTACCATGTTCACTAGAACAAGATTGACTATTATTATGGGACTGACTTGAACTGCTACTCTTTTCATCCCTGGCAATAGTTTGAGCAAGATCAGTCGTGCCACAAACACCAGGATTTCTGGAAGACCCGTCTTTTGAGTTAATACTTGCTGATGCAGGCGATAAAACTGGTTTCATAGAACCAGGAGACGCAGATGCAGATCTTGTAGCACTATCATCCTGAACAAGCTTCACTGAAGCAGATTTGGATGTAGAAAGCTGGGAAACTGAGCTCTTCATGGCAACTTCAGAGGATGCATCTTGGTTCCTCCCTCCATGATTAACTTCAGATGGACGAGGCCTTGCACTCCATGGAACAGCTTGGTTTGAACCAGATTTCGCATCATTAATGTTCATTTCAGCTTCAACACGTTTTTTCCACGTGTCCACTAAGCTCCTTGCTTTCCTTTGAATTTCCAAGTTCTTATGCGAGCGTAAATGATTCACAGACTTTCCAATATTACACATCTGTAAAGCAGGAAGATTTACAGGTAGTTTATCGAGGGCTCGAAGCAAAATCAGAAGAAATTCCTCAACTGCTTTATCGCTATCCTTAGGGCTACCACCACTACCAATCTTTCCCTTGTGAACCTCTTGGAGCCATTCATCAAGCACAGGTAAACCCTTAAGATGCACAAACTGACTAAGGCACTCAAGCTTTTCCGTGGCAGCTATCACACCTGCAAGTGCTGATCTGCCAGCCAAATCAATTTTTTTGTCATTTCTATCAGTCAGCATAAGCTGCACCAATTTCTCAACAGCTTCAGAATCAACTAAGCCTCCTTTCTCAGCAACTTTTGCAATGTCAGACTTCAAAAGGTTCTCCAATCTGCAGTTAGCAGAATCCCCTTCTTCGGCTTTTATGATGCGCTCTCGTTTGACAGATTCTAATCCTTGCTCACTCCGTTCTCTTTTCTTGCCTTTTGTGTGAGAAGGAAATGTAGTGGTTTGTACATTATCTGAATTAGCTTTTAACTGAGATGTTGATGTCGGACCACTTGAAGGCTTAGGTGATCGGCCACCGGATTGCACTGAAGCATGCATTTCTAATCTTGTCTTATATAACAATTGATCTACTTCTTCCTGTCGTTCCTGACAAAATAAATGCAATCAACCAAAACTCCCACTATCCAAGAGAGAAATACAGAAAGCAGCAAGAACTTACATTAATATAGTCCTGATCGGTTAACCACCATAAACACTTATTCGTTATGTCATACACTCTCCGGCACACAAATGACGAAATCCCTGATGGAAGTTCAACGTCCTTTGGAAGAAATGCAACTTTACATGGATGGAGTAAAGATGCAGCAGGAATTTCATCCTTATGAAAGGAATAGAAGACTTCGTTTGGCGCAGCTTCCAAAAGGATGCCTTTGCCAAGCGTTAATTCAGAAGACCGATAAAGCCAACTCACGCCTAACTTTAACTTATTCTCCTTACCAGCAGTCAACCACCGGATTATGCCAATAAAAGGTGGGGAATCTTGAGGGGGTTTGAAAAGAGCACAATCACCAACACTAATCCTACGTCCACCCTGTTAAAAGAGAGTAGAGAATAGTGAGTCATCATAAAGAAGTGCCTGCCAATGGAAACTTGAAATTTAAAAGGAGGAACTAACACATTGCAAGTAAAAAGACTATTAGAAGCTACATGACATTATACCACATGATGTATTCCATCCCAGCTCCGAAAAAAAGAAGAAAAAAAGGAAACCAGGAGGGGAAAATTCTTTTTTATCTTCTAAAAATAACAACAATGTTTCTCCATGAGATAAACAACAAAAAAAATAAAATTACCCACATATCAGGAAATGTGAATTCAATTATATCATAAAATACATATCCAAACAATATCTTAAGAAAATTTAAGTTGAGACATTTAGAATTGCTTCGTAATTCAAACTAGTCAATATGATGTCTTACTCAATCACAATAAAGAAATCATTTCTTAAATTAACAAGATAATTAAGAAAAACCCACGAAGCAAAGCTCATAAACATCCTGCCTGGTGAACCAAACACACGTTAGGACTAGGAATTCATCCTGAAACAGATGGCTCGAAAGCAAAATACACATTGATGGAAAATAAAATAAAATAAAACTAATTAGCTAGCATCAATGAATTAACCCCAATCCTAACAGACAAAGCATCTACAAGAGCATTCGATAACGCCAGGCAGAAAATAATCATATAACTTCTGTATTAATTACGAGACCTTCTCTGAAACCTACAGAACGCTCATCCAGTGTCAAGATCCTCAACATTATAGATAAAATCCACATTTCTACAACATATACAATTTGCAGACATCATCCAGGGCCTCCGAGACATTTCACTAAATTCTCCCGTGCAGAAAGAACGATAACAATAACAACTAAAAAAAACTCCTCCCTTGCACATTGACGCGACCCACAACTTCTTCTACCTTTTCTTTTTACCACAAGAGCGAACGTTTACACAAGCACGAGCAAAAACAAGCAAAAAGAAAGCTCATCCACGGAGGGAATATCGAAAAATTGACAATCAGGATAAAGGGAACAGAAAAAATTACCTTGCAAAACGAATTAGGTGCAGACGAAGACGATGACGAAGAACCATCTGCTTCTACGATCTGGGTACCACGTGTGGGGACTGTCCACATGTGCCGACTCCGTTTCCCGTCCTCACCTCGACGCCCATGCATAGCCTTGCATTTTCCCCAATTCCAGCCTCGATCCCACCTTCACGCCGAACGAGTACCATCAATCCTAACCCTAATTCGACACACGAAACCCCAATTCACAGCTATCCGCTTACCGCGAAACCCTAGATCAATACAAAAACGCCGCTGCCTCCTATCATCTCCCGATAGAGATTGAGGGGAGTCCCCGATTTCTTTACCACCGGCGCACCAATAAGTAGGATTTCTAGGGTTTACCTTATCTACCCCAGAGTGATCCAAATTAAAGCTCAGATCCAACCACACGCAACGAGACGATTAAAGATTTCGAGCCGCCTTTGAACCTAGAAAGAGAGAGAGAGAGAGAGTGCGAGAA